GTTGCCTGTTTAAGTTGTAATAAGTAATTTTTGACTTGTCCAAACTCCTAGCCTTTGCTGAAGAGTCATTAAATAAGCAATTATTAAGTGCCTACTACATGCCAGGCATTGTGCAAGATGCTGAAGATACAAAGACAAAAAATGAAACATCTTTGACCTCAAGAAGCTTACATTTTATTGGAGAAAATATATGAATAGTAAGCACATAGAAAGTATGAACAAAATAAATTATTGATAGCTAGCCTTTATGTAGCACTTTAAGGTTTGCAAAGTGTTCTATATAATTAATGCATATGTAATAGAATTATGAGCTTATTACTTTTCTCTCCAATTTTAGCCTTTGAAAAGTTATCCGATAAAGGAGAGTAGTAATGGTAATTGTGATTTGAGATCTTTTTTTTTTAAATAAAACCCAGATTACACAGTGGTATACCATTTAATTCAGTTCCTATATGTTATGTTAAAGAGATTGATTCTAATTTATTTTTAATGCTCATTGTATTTCAGCAACATAGTAAAAAAAAAAATCTAAGTGAAATTGTCTCCGTATGGGCTCCTGAAGTTGTCACCAGTCACTGCACCAACACTGCTAAGGCTGCCAGACGTCTTATCTTATGGGGTTTTTACTTGGAGAGAAATGAAACACTAACAATCTTGCATGAATGAAAGCCACCTTGCACTCAGAAAACACACAACCAAGGTGGCAGATCTGGCTATCAGTGAACAAGGAGTTCGAAGGAGAGAACCAGAGATGGTGAAATAAAAGTTAACAATAACAAAAAGAGAGCCATAGATAAATAGTAAAAGGAACAGCCAGCTACAAAAAACCTATTGACGTTTGCTCAGAGTCCAAGGGAAGCACTGGTGACCAGTAAGTGTTGGAATGTTTTCCTAGGGTTAAAGTAGCTGAACAGCAAGTCTGCTTAGGATTTACAAAGTGTTTGAATAACAGAGACAGTGTTTGGATAACACTTTTTTAGTGTGGGTGAAAATAATATAATTTATTGGGACATTTATATGGCCCTTGGTTGTGTATGTGAGAGAGTATACAGTGGACCATAAATAACACGCATATCTATCTATCAAGACTACCAGGATCTCTACGTATATTCAGCTACAATTTGCATGTAATTTGATTGCACCAAGATGATTTTCCAAATGCTTTTGCAATCCTTTGCACCAGAAATGAAACCAGACCTCCTTATAAGGTGAAGATTCTGTAGCAAAGTGGACAACAGCCTCCTATTATCAGTATCAGAGAAAGTGAGAGTAGACTGGTGTGAACTTGTCCAGGACACTAGCTCCAATCCTGTGCAAATCGTCATGGGATCTCTAAGAGCTACACACAGCAAGCTGGGCCTCCCTCACTTTTAAGGCTTGCCTTCAAAAGGCCCTGCATGCTACGCTGGAGTTTGAAAGGTGCAAGGTCTGAGCTAATCCAGCCATCAGCTTGGGAACTGTGGTTCCAAGGAGTCTCTGTGCTCCAACCCTGATGTTGAGATGGTTTTTGTTCTGTGTATCCCAATATACTGTCAGTGAAACCACATAAAACCAGACACCTCTCAATAAATGTCTCATTTAGCTTCATGGGTGCTTATGGGTGTCATTGAAATCAAACAGCAAGCACACCATAAAGCTCTTGTATTTACCTACCAAAATCTAAGGATTGTGTTCTTTTACATTCTAATTGAAGCATTTTCAATAGTTTTCATTTTTAGTGCCCTCCCCCTCCAGTTCATTCCTAAAAAAGCCTATTCTTATTTTCACCCTATGGCTGGACTAGGTGTGGGTGTGTGTGGGGAGAGGCACAGTTTCTCTTGCTGTAAATAAAGTTTCTGGTGGAAACTCAAAAGTGTCAAGTGAAGTTCATGATTATTTATTGGGCCTCCTTTCAACAGCTGCACCTTCTCTGTAAATGAAAGCTGGAAGTAACAAGCATTGTATGGCCAAACTCCAAATATCCAAACATCGGATTTTCATATTCTTTGTTGAGAAAATCAATAACCGAAACAGGAAAATGAGAAAGCATTGCTTTTGCCTCTCTGTATATGTGAAAATGTAAACAAATAAGTGTGGAAAAACTCCAGATTCCAAAAGGCCTGTGGTCTTAGACTCTAGAAGGCAAATATATGAGAATTCTGACTTCTCTTTCTGGCACTGAAGTTAATCTTGCCTCAGTTTCTCCATCTGTAAAATGGGGATGGGGCTCTGCTAGGTGTTGATGCCAAGTTTAGAAGACATTCTCCACTCACCAAACAACTCCTGCCTGTTTAGACAGTACAGAAAATGATCAAAGAAATCCACCTTTAAGAGCAAGACCATGTCTTGCGTTCAAATTGACTCTATTGAGAATTAGTTGATCCCTGTGCCCTCCATCAGCCTAGAGCCCAGCACTCAACCAGGAAGTGATGAGGGAGGCTAGCTCATTCTCCAAGCCCTCTGAACGCATCCAGCTACCTATAACGACAGCCCAGGTTTCAGATAGGCTGGATGAATGCAAAGCCTTAAGACTGCCAATTTCCTCCACTTGCAAAACCCGGGGATGCATGCGCTCATGTTACGGAGTTCTCAGGCTGGCTGGCAAGTGCAGTTAGATATAGGTGGCAACCCTTCCCTCTGTATCCCTTTTACCATCTCCCCCCCCCCAATCCAAATGCACAGTGAATTTTCAATTCAAAAGTATCCAGAGCTATTGAGGGCACACTGACCAGTTCCCTGAAAACTCACTTCCCAGAGTCAAGAAAAAATAGATGGGCCGGGATGGGGGTGGGGGGAGATGCAGAAGAAGGGGTGCACCCAGCTCAGGAAGGAGACTCAGAGGGCAAAAGGCCTACGAGTAGATCTAGGAGAGGGAAAAAGAGAGAGAAAGGGCCCTGAGGGTTCAAGGGCACTACTCTGCTCCCCTTTGGGGCTGAAGGCGCGTGTCCTAAGACTCTGACGCTCCAGACCCGGACGAAACTGACGGTGATTCTGACCTAGACCTAGAGTTTTGCGCCAAGCTGCTGAATGGCAGAAGGCTGTGGTTTTCTGTTGGAGTTTCCCCAGCCTGCCCCGTCGAGCCGCCCCCCGAGTCCACCTTTCCTTACCTCCTTGACGGCGAAATCCTGCGATCCCCTTTCCAAACCCCAACCCTGGCCGCTGCGTTTCCCGAGACCAAAGACTCCTATCTCCCCTCCGATCTGGGGTATGGAATGAAAAAGGAGGGAGGAAAGAGGAGGAGGAGAAGCCCCTCTCTTTCTAATGTGTTGGGTTTTTTTTTCAATCCACACCGTGCCTTTGTCGTTGTTCAACATTTCTGTGGAGTCGGGGTGTGTGTTTGCGGTGTCCTGCGTTGGCCCTTTCCTTCATCATCTTCGGGATGTTTGGGGACATAACATGTTGTTCCCAGATCCACAGAGGCGTAATTCGGCTGCTCTCCGAAGCCTGGAGAAAAGATGTTTGCCCCGGGTAATAGCTTATTAACAGCGAATATTCATAGGGCCTCTCCCCCAGCCACGAAATTGTATGTGCTTGTGTTTTATTATACACGTGTACATATGAACATATATGTAATGTGCATTTGTGTATGTATGTTAGCTTTCTGATTTGATATACGTTCACTGGAAGACAGTCAAGCAGCTGGGGCAAAGGGCTTAATTCAATAGCAAGCTGATTAATGCACTAATTATCCTACCTTCTGGGTTTAACTACAGAAGAGAGACGGGAGGAGGGAATCTTAACGCCTCTGCTAACGGGGAATAATTGTTTAACGATGCAAGGCCCAATTTAAGATGAGCTGCGAGGGGTTTAAGGTTGGGGAGGGGCGAGAAGAGGATATGGAATCCATGAAAGCCTGAGCTAAGCGCTTAGAATTTGGGAGTAGGGGGACTGTTGTTTTTCTTTAAATAAAAAATCATTTCCAGGACAGCCCAGGGACGGTGGTGGTTGGTGGTGGAGAAGCTCCTAGCTGGAAATCCCTTAGGCTTCATTTGACCAAGGCTACTTAAAGGGAGAATACAAAACTATCCGTCCTAACTGGACATTGATGCACTCCGGGTCTTGGGCTGACCCGGGTGCACAAAGCTTCTCCAAGTGAGGAAAGGAAGTGGGGGAAATGCTGGAGAGTGTCCTCGGCAGAGAAGACAGAGCGCACACTCAGTCGAGTGATTCCTAGACCCTGTAAGCCAGATCTCTTCCCCTTGAATACTTTACACACTTCGCTGAGAATAGACTGAAAGGGCTTGGGCGGAGGGAGAGGGAGAAGGTGGATTAGGTGTGGAGGGGAGAAGAATTCCACTGACCGAACAGTGAGGAGGCCTTTTCCCCCAGCACTGTGAGAAACTACAGCCTGACCCTGCCCCTCTCCAGCCGCGACCAATGTTTCCTGTGAAAGGTAGCAACCTGAAGAGTTTATTCCTACATCCCCTTTTCACTCGACTTCTCTCCGATTCCTCTATCCCTTCGCTTTCAAGAACTGCTGCAGCCAAAATTTGTCTCCTCCTCCTCCTCTTTGTGGAATCAGACAGCTCTCCCCATCACCCTGATCTCTCCTTAGTGTAACGCCCTTAGAGGCCAGGACATCTCCACATTCCCTTGAATCCATACCAGGGGCGCTCCGAAAGATCCCCAATTCGGGAACAGTCCCTTAAAATGGAGCCCACCCACCCACCCTTAGAGACGCTCGCGCTTCTCCCGAACCTCGCTAGCTTGCTCGAGTCTTTGGACCTCGTCCCTTCCTTCTTTGTGCCCCTATCCTGTCCTTATAACCTAAGCGAACAAGAAAACTCCGGGCTGATTCTCGCCGCAGGAGCTGGTTTCCAAGAGATGGAAGAAAAGAAAAAGAAAGTCACAGGTGACTTGTTCCAATTAGTAAACGTCTAATTAAATTAGTGTCAGATTAAAGCAGCCAATAGGGCCGGCCTTTATCAGGGAGAGGGGGCGGGGGGGAGAGATGCCAGGAAGCGAAGCCCCTCCCCAGCCTCGCCTATATAAAGTTGGTGGTGGCTGCCGGGCGGCTTGCTTCTAGTTGGCTCTTAAGCCAACTTTCTTTGGAAGATAGCAGTGAGGGGAGGAAAGAAGGGGCGGTGGGCAGGTGAAAGAGCAAACTGGGCGCTTCCTCGGGGACTCGAGGTCGCTGCTGCCTTGTCCATTCTCCTTTAGGACCGAGGAGGGAAACGGCTTGCGTTTGTCCTTTAGTTTGCATTCGCTGCCTTCGATTACTGTCTGAGGGAAAGGAGCGGTGGACAGTGGAGCGCTGCGTGCGGGTGCTCGCTGGTACCCAGCGGTCCGAGGCTAGTGGGTCTAAGGGGCAGGAGGAAGGAAGGGGGAGCTGCTCCTCTTCTCGGAAGAGGGCGCTGCCTTCCCTCCTGTCGCTGCAAGGCTCTCCGAGGCTAAGGGAGAAGCTCAAGCGTCGGGTCGCCTTCAGCGCCTGGGCAGAGAATGCAGTTGGGAGAACCGCTCCTAGCGAGCGCTGTCCACTTGCCCAGCGCTCACTTCTACCCTCTGGAGAGCGCGAGCGCGAGCGGCAGCAGTGGCGGCGGGCCCCACCACGGCGCCGGCTCCCCGGCCCAGAGGCTGGACGTGGACAAAGGGCAGAAAAAGTTCCGAGCCGGCCTCGCCTGCGAAGCTGCTCGGGAGCCCGCCTCGTCCACCGGCGGGGCCGCCCCTCCGGGCATGCTGAGCGACACCGACGCCGCGGACACCTTCTCCAGCGCTGCCGCCGTGGCTAAGCCGGGCGCCCCGGACGGCCGCAAGGGCTCTCCGTGCGGGGACGAGGAGCTGCCCTCGGCTGCCGCGGCGGCGGCGGCTGCAGCGGCGGCGGCGGCGGCGGCGGCCGCTGCGCGCTACCCCATGGACAGCCTGAGTCCGGACCGCTACTACCTGCAGTCGCCGGGGCCGCCGCAGGGCGCCGAGCTGGCTGCGCCCTGCTCCCTCTTCCCTTACCCGGCGGCAGCGGCGGCTGCGGCGGCGGCCCAGCACGGCTCAGTGTACCCGGCCCCCAACGGCGCACGCTACCCCTATGGCTCCATGCTGCCCCCCGGAGGCTTCTCGGCCGCCGTGTGCTCTCCCGGGAGGGCGCAGTTCGGCCCCGGCGGCCCTGGTGGCCCCAGCGGCGGCGGGCCTGGCGGCGGGCCCGGCAGCTATCAGTACGGTCAAGGCGGCCCCGGCGCGCTCTATGGCCCCTACCCGGGGGGAGCCTCAGCCTCCGGCTCCTGCGGCGGCCTCGGCAGCCTTGGGGTGCCGGCCGCTGGCCTGCGCGCTCAGGTCTACCTCTGCAACCGGCCCCTGTGGCTCAAGTTTCACCGGCACCAGACGGAGATGATCATCACGAAGCAGGGCAGGTGGGTCCCCAGGGTCGTCAGGGAGTGTCTCCAGGGAGGGCAGGCCGCACACTTTAGTACAGGTTGGGTCCTGTGGGAGTCAGAGAAGTGAAGAGTAAAAAGCCTTCCAGCTGTCCTGTGCTGGTGTCCTGCACCTTCGCAACTCCATCCACTTCCCTAGCTCCCATCTCCAGTGTTCTCGGGTCTGGGTGGGAGCCCACCTCAGCTCCAGTCCTACTCCCTCGGCAGGTGGCTGGGAAGAAGAAAAATTCGGGGAGTTCATCCCTTGTCCACGTAAATTCTCGCGGCAGCTGGAGTGGGTGGGGGGTCTTCGAGGAACCAAGGACGAAGGAGAGCCAAGAACCCCCTTCCCGGTAGGTAATTCCTCTTCCACAGCTGGAAGCCGAAGGACAGTGCAGTTTAGGACTTGCCTTCCCCCTTGTCTGGGTGGTGAAAGAGGTTGGGGACTCTGTGCAGCCCAGGATGCGTTTGTGAAGTCGTCTTGCTGTGCGGCCCATTTTATCTAAGGCCCTTTCGAGCGGTCGCATCCTGAGCCGTTGTGACCCCAGCCACCCCAGAAAAATCCCAGAGACTCGGCGTCCCTGTCCGAACCGGGCTGGGCCACTACACTCTCTAGCCTATGAGATACCAGAGAGCGCAGCCCCTGAATTGGTCAAAGGGGACCCTAGGCCTTTCCCTGAATGATGTCTTGGAAACAGGCCATTAGATGGGAGAGTCCTCGAAGAAATCTACTCCCGGATTTTTGACTGCTAGAGATGAAAACAAAGTTTTGCCTCAGTCTAATAGCGAATAGCTTACACTCCCATACCACCGTAAGTTTTGCAAAAGCACTTTGTCACACCAAACCAGAGAGATAAATAGCATCATTACTTCCATTTTACAGATAAGGAAAGTGAGGTTCAGAGAGATGAAACTTACTATTATTACTCACAGCTAATAAGCTATGTGGCAGGTTGATACTCAGGCTTTCCTGATACCTAACTCCAAACTCCAGTGCTTTACTACACAAACTTCCCGTTTCCTTCCTTCCTTCCTTCCTTCTTTCCTTCCTTCCTTCCTTCCTTCCTTCCTTCCTTCCTTCCTTCCTTCCTTCCTTCCTTTTTCTTTTTCTTTCTTTCTTCCTCTCTTCCTTCCTTCCTTCCTTTCCCTTCCTTTCTCTCATCTCTTTCTCTTCCTTCCTGCCTCCCTATAAATAAACCCTTTCCCAGACATGAGTTCCCTATATCATCCAGCCTCTCCCTCCCGCCTGTCTCCCCCCACCCTCTATGCATACCTACACATGGGCAGTTTCTGCCTGTTATCTATCCCATGTCCCAGGGGTCAAACTTGATAGGAATAAAATCAGATTGTGTCCTGTCTCCTGGGAAAGGAAGACCAGAATTTGGGAGTGAATTTCCCTGTTCTCTTTCGGTGTCCGGCTTGGTGGCGACACTCTGCTTAGGGTTCACCCTTTCTTCTTTCTACGCAGGAGGATGTTTCCTTTCCTAAGCTTCAACATTAATGGGCTCAACCCCACAGCCCACTACAACGTGTTTGTGGAGGTGGTGCTGGCTGACCCCAACCACTGGCGCTTTCAGGGGGGCAAATGGGTGACGTGTGGCAAGGCTGACAACAACATGCAGGGTGAATAAATTGGTGGGGGAAGTAAAGCTGGGGAAGGGGTGGCCACAGAAGAGTGAAATTTCCTGGGTATATATTTACATAATTCACATTTCTTATAATCACAAAATGTTAGAACTGAAAGGGACCCTAGAGCTCATCTAGTTGAACAAACTCATTTTACAGATGAGGAAGGTGAGGCCAAGAGAGGGGAAATGATGGACTCAAGGACACATAACTGTCAAGTCACTGAGCCAAGATTCAGACTGCTCTTCTGACTCCAAGCCCAATGTTCTCTCCCCACCGTGACTGTTTAATTGTATATCCCTATTCGAAGATTTCTCTCGAGGCCTGCTGGTCCAAAGTTGTATGTGTGTGTTAGGAATAGGCAGAAGAGACTTTCTATGTCAATTTTATTTTCTTATACTTTCAATGTATACAAAAGACCAAAGAGCAAAATCTATTTTTGAGTGGACTCAGTCTTTCTGTTAAAAATTTCTGCTGCTAAATGATGCACCTGATGGTATGAAAGTCAGAAGAGACTGAACGTGCTCTTTGCAAGTACTGGTCAATACCCAACTATTAAAAATGGAACCATAGGAGAAGCATATTTCACTGCTTAAAGTGGAAGATAATTTTAATATGATAAAAACCAATCCAAGATAGAAGGAATAAAGGCATGTATCTATAAGACACCCCCCCAAAAAAAGTGAGATTATTTTTAAAAAATTCACCTCAAAAGCTGACTTCTATGAGGTATCCACAAGTATAGCCCAGAATTTTGACATTTAGACTTTGGTATTTATATTTGAGTTTGGTGTTTTTGTATGAGTTTTTGATTAATATTTTTGTCCAAAGAAGTTTGAAAGCAGAGCTCAAAAAGGATAGGAATGGAAAAGATGCCTCTATTTCTGGGCATAATGAAAAATTAGAGTGAAATAATCATGAGAGCTCATTTGTATATAGCACTGTAAGGAGTACAAAATATTTTATATATATATATATATCCCTTCAGACTAGACTCAGAAACTCCAGGAGCCCTAGAGCCTAGAGTCATACTTCACTTTATCTTCTATATTCCTTCTTTTCTAGGCAACAAAATGTATGTTCACCCTGAGTCTCCCAACACTGGCTCACATTGGATGAGGCAGGAAATCTCCTTTGGAAAACTGAAACTTACCAATAACAAAGGTGCTAATAACAACAACACCCAGGTAATATAGAGGTAATAACAGAGGACCCTGGGGGTCCTCTAGACTTGGCCTCAGAAGTGAAAAACTTTTTGTGTTAAGAATCTTGAACTCTTGACTTACTATGCCCTAAGTTGTGACCAATTCGAATTTCTTTTCCTCTTAAATTCCTGCCCCAAACCCAGCAACCCACCTTGCAACATCTTCTTATGGAATTGTTGATGCTGTAGTCCAAAGCCTACTATTGTAATAGGGCTTTGGAGACACTGTCTACGAGATCCCTTGGAAGGTTCTGAACCATCCTGAAACCAAATCCTTGTGGTGCTGGGAAATATGTCACCCTAACAACCTGATGGTTACCATCAGGCCTTAGAAAAGGAATTTTAGAACTGTTGTATTAAAAGACCCCTGAAGCACAGTGCTTGTAGATGCACATTAATAAAACGCTTTACCAAGTACCTTTGTTTGAATATCTAAAACGCCTTCCTAGATGTCGATACTCTTTTTCCCACTCCCAGATGATAGTTCTGCAGTCTCTTCACAAGTACCAACCCCGGCTTCACATAGTAGAAGTGACTGAGGACGGTGTGGAAGACCTTAATGATTCCTCCAAGACCCAGACATTCACTTTCTCTGAGACCCAGTTCATTGCTGTGACAGCTTACCAGAACACTGATGTGAGTCAGCCCCAAAGACTGGAGAGCCTCTTTAGCAGTGAACCCTAAATTAACCCATCCCCACCCTCCCCCCAAAAAAGTGCTTACTGGTTCTCTTTTATTTTTTCCTCTTCTAGATCACCCAGCTGAAGATTGACCACAATCCATTTGCAAAAGGTTTCAGAGACAACTATGATTCGTAAGTGTAGCTTCATTCTTCACTGCATAGTTATAGGACCATAGATTTTGAGCTAGAATGACTCTCAGAGGCCATCTTGCACCTCAAACCCTAATTTTAGAGCCCTGGAGAAGTAAGATGACTTGGCTAAGGTCACACAGGGAATAAGTAGCAGACCCAGAATGTGAAGCCAGATCCTCAGACTTCACATCCAGGACTCCTTCCTCAGCACCATTCTGCCTACCTTTAGAAGAGAATGCCTTATACAATCACTTTCATCTAAAAAATCCTTAGGGTTTTATTTTATTGCCTTTTGGTTTGCTGTGTCTCACATTGGCTACTACTTGGTTTCCTTTAGAAGCTTACCTGAAAAGGTTCTAGAACATTTATATACTTTAAAAAAAAAGTTAAATTGGCTTTAAAATATGTGGACAGTCTCCAGAGAGAGGGAGGGATGGTAATTTGAGGTCACTCTGTTCTAGTACCTGCATAAGGGAATTGTTATAGCTTCATTATTAATACCTGGAAGAAAAAGGTGCCAGGCTGGGGCAGAAGAAGAAATGATGAGACAAAACAGATAGACATTTGACCAGCTTAAGCTAACCAAGGCCCTACTGTCAACGTGAAGTTCTAAAAGGCATTCTCCCTGAAACCTCCCCTCCCCCCACCCCCACCTCCCCCCAACCCCAAGCCCTTTTCAGTTCTGGGAAGTGGAGTGGTCAGGAGTGTTGGTAGCACTTGGGTTTTTTTTTAAGTGTTTCTCTTTATGTTGTAGCATGTACACCGCTTCCGAAAATGACAGATTAACTCCATCTCCCACGGATTCTCCTAGATCCCATCAGATTGTACCAGGAGGCCGATATGGAGTTCAGTCTTTCTTTCCTGAGCCTTTCGTCAACACTTTACCTCAAGCAAGATACTATAACAGTGAGAGAACCGTCCCACAGACCAATGGTCTCCTTTCTCCCCAGCAAAGCGAAGAGGTCTCCAACCCTCCCCAGAGATGGCTCGTGACTCCTGTGCAGCAGCCAGGGGGCAACAAACTGGATATAAGTTCCTATGAAGCCGAGTACACTTCCAGCACCTTGCTGCCCTACAGCATTAAATCCCTGCCCCTCCAGACATCCCATGCTCTGGGCTATTACTCTGACCCATCCTTTTCTGCAATGGCAGGCTGGGGAGGCCGAGGCTCTTACCAGAGAAAGATGGCTGCTGGGCTACCATGGACATCCAGAACCAGTCCTCCTGGTTTCACTGAAGATCAGCTTTCCAAAGAGAAAGTCAAAGAAGAAATTAGCTCTTCCTGGATAGAGACCCCCCCTTCCATAAAGTCTCTAGATTCAAATGATTCTGGGGTGTATACTAGTGCTTGCAAGAGAAGGCGGCTGTCTCCCAGTACCTCCAGCAATGAAAATTCCCCATCGATAAAGTGTGAGGACATAAACACAGAAGACTACAGCAAAGACACTTCAAAAGGCATGGGCTACTATGCTTTCTATACAAGTCCCTAAAGCATTACATTCCTCCTATAAAACGGGCCAGTTTTTAAAGGTGGACTTGGTGTATGTGCTTGGGCTTTTTCTTTGTTTTGTTGTTTTGTTTTGTTTTGTGTTGTTTCTGGTTTTGTTGTGTTGGTTGGGTTGGGTTGGGTTTTGCCTAGGTTGCCAAAAAGACTTTTGCCTCCCACCTTAAAGCTTACTTACCGTGTGGTGCAATTCTTTGTAGAAGGTGCCAAAGCTCTTTGATTGCTGCAGCTAATGGGAACCAGCCTAGTAGCTTATTTTTTTTAAGTGTGATCAATTAATGGCTTATACAAATTTTACATTTTAACTCTCAAGGATACTCAAGGTTCTGGTTTTAACCACATGGCATATTTATTGGACACACTAAACCTTCAATGAGGTGGACTAGGGGCCTCTGAGGGTGGGTTGTCTGGATCAAGTTCTGGGAACCAACTTGCAGCCAGCCCTCATTTCTCATTCAAAATCTCTAAGCAAATCAGAGCAGAGAGTATGGCAAAGGCTTTCCAGTTCTGGAGGAGCAGAGGTAGACTTCATGATTTAGCTGAGGTCTTTGGCACAGCAGAGCTATTAAAATGCTTTTCCTGAGGATGGTGAGATCCAATGCCTGGGACAGGAGCAGCCCTTTGGTTGAACCTAGGCCATTCCTCTGTCGCTCTTGGGCCTCCAGAGCTAGCCTGATTTGCTTCAGCACGTGACTGCCGCACTTAAGAAAAGCTAAACCCGTTGGCATTAAAAGAGCCCTGTGGGAAAGGAGGAGGTCACCAAAAATAGAGAATTAAAAGTGTACAGTCGTGTGTGTCTAGGTACACTGTAGAATACTGTGGAATATCTTGTACAAATAGTCTACATAGGAGTCCCGCTAAGATCATGTAAAGTTGGTGCTTTGGCCTTGTAAAAGATTTTCAAAATACTGGAGGCAAGAGGCCTGATTTTTGAGGGGAGTGGGGTTCAATGCTCCCCCTTTTCAGTACTTGGGAAAATAATCAACCTGGTTACTTTGTAGGTAGGAAAGAATGTATTTTTCAGCTCCCCTGTACTAACTTGAAAATGTGTTTAAAAATAACAACAAACAAAACTTCAATTTCACATTTCCCCCCCTTTTTGGTGATGTTATAAACTTCAAAGCCAGTGCACCAGTATGAAGGCTTTTTAGATATCTTGGTTTTTGTATGTACAGTCAAGGGCATTTTTAATAAATGTGGTGCATTAGGGGGAATGGACCTGATTCTTTCTTCTGTATGGATGCAAAAAATATTTTTCACAGGTGAGGCTCTATCTTGAACTCATGGGTTCTTTGGGAGCAAGTGGTCCTCACTCTTATCTCTCCTCAAAGATGGGCCAAGGTAGTTCTCCCTGGCTACATGGGTCATACCGGACAGCGTCCTGTTTCTCTCTTGTTTGTTCAAGATTTTGTTTTTCTGTAGACCTCAGGATTGTGGATGATTTCCTCTCTCTCTCTCTCTCTCTCTCTCTCTCTCTCTCTCTCTCTCTCTCTCTCAGCCGGAAGGGGAAGGGGGTGGTGGGGATGGGACGAAGAAGGGGAAAAGAGAAAGAGGAGAAATAACGCTTTCCAGGTCCTGCTGGGAGGGCAAAGACCTTGGACCCCCAAGGCAGCTGCTGTGACTGAGGAGGGGGGAGGGAAGACAAACCTGAGAATGTGAAACCTGTGTTAACCCAAGGATTTGTCTCTTTTGGGGAAAGGGCGCAGGTAGGGGCCAGGGGGAGGTTTTTGTGGCTCCTTCGTCATAGTAAGCTCTGGATTTATCAATCCGCGGTTCCTATCCAGTTGTTGGGCATGATTTAGAATCAACTAGTTCTGGCTTCTATCCTCTTGGGTTTGGGGGCGGAGGTGGGGGAGAAGGTAAGTGAAAACAAAGGCTGTGGGGGGAGCAAGCAAGTGCATACTTTGCACCAGCCCACGTGGGCTACCCGGGAACCCCCCTCCTCCCTGACCCTTTTAGAGACCCACAAGTTCCTGTCCCCCTGCTCCATGCACAGCTAGGCTCCGCGCCGCAGGCTGAGTATGGCTTACTCAGATTGGTTTTCTACCTCGGCTCCCTCACACCTACGGCTTTTTTCTGAAATTTGTCAAGCCGCGGGCCTGGGAGGGCTTTCTTCAGCACCCTCGCTTCCTCCGGACTAACTGCCTGGGTAGAGGCTGGGGGAGGAAGCCGAGACGCTGGGTTACCCTGCCCACGCCCACGCCCAGCACCAGGCGTAGTCAGGGTTTGGGCCGCGACGCGCTCTTGCTAGGGCTCAAACACACCAATTTGTGTTAATTTCCAACTCAGGTTAATTTCCGGACCTTGTTAATTTCCAGCTCCTGTCAATTTCCAAGCTTAGCCTGCAGCTTGGAGGTAGGCGCTGAGCAAGCTGGTAGGATCAGTCCAATTTCTGTCCGGGTCCCTCAATTCAACTAGCGTTTTTATTTTTTTCACCACCTCCCGCCCGCAAAATCGTTCCAGAGCCGAATTCCAGCAAATTCTTGCTCCACGGGGAATAGAAGAAAAGGAGTGTCCAAGAGATAAAGAACTCCACCCCACCCCCCTCCCCAACTTCTTCCCCAACCCTCTGTCTGGACACGCCGCTAGGCTTATCTGAAGAAACGTTCTTTCCCATTCTCAAAATCTTGTTATTTCTACCAAGCGGTTGGTAGAAGTTCAGGGTAGGAGCGGAGATTTGCTAAGTGCGCTGCGGGGAGATGCAGCTGCTAAAAGGATTAGGCTAGACCTCAATGCAAACAGCTCCTACCTCTTCCGCACAGAATTAAGGCGGCAAAGTCCCTCACCTCCACTTCTCGCCTCCTCTCCACCCCTTCTCTCCATTGCTTGCTTGACCCTTCTAACGGCTAGATCCGATGCAGTCAAAATGCTGGGTCTCCAAACGCTTACCCTAGTAGTACTCTTGCTCACTCCAAGTTTGAAACCAGACTTAGCTAAAGGAGTTCTTCACAAACATGCGCCTCAAACGCAGGAGAGAAGGTGCACATTTTATTGGCGGAGGGGAAGAATGAAATCTTTGGGGGAATTTGCTTTTGAGTTGATTTAAATGCCCCAATTTTCCCAGCTCGTCTCTACTAATGAATTCAAACTCGCGGGATGGGATCTTGTACCTCTTTTCTGATTCATGCTTTCCAGCACCCGGGCCTCTAATTTCCCAAGTGTTCCCCACACACTCCAAGTTCCTGAATCTGACTCGAGCTACCCCTTCTCATCCTCCTTCCCAGGGTTGTTAAACGCCAATTACCGGAGAAAAGCAGAGCTGAGGCACTATGCGACCCGATCCTATTTCAAGTCCCAGTATATTTTTGCACTGTACAGTAAAAAAGAAACGGGGACTTGTGAAAAGTCCTCACACTGTTTAATAGAAACGTAAGTGGCTGAGTGGCCCCAATTAACACCTTGTGATGATAAGGCATTCCTAAGATGGAGTGTCAGACACCAAATTGTGAATAAATGTATCTAATTAATCCTCCTAGGATGACACCGATAAACAAGCCTATATTTAAATAAAGATCAAGGGCTCCGGATGGCTCCTATTGTTTACATCCCCCTACCACTACCACCCCTAAAGCAGATAGAAGTTGCCGCGCAACGGCGGCTGTGTTTGCTCCAGTCTGTCCTACTCTGGCCTCCGACAGAGGGGCTGGAGATGGGAAGCTTGGCTTTGCCACCCTCCGGGGCCCAACCACAACCTGGGAAACTGACAGAGGGCACAGACAAGAGGCCCAGGCCTCGGAGCAAAAATACTGCTTTTTTAGTTTTGTCAATGGTACAGTAATTTCATCACGCATTCTGCCTGGGCTCGGTGGCTTGGCACAAAACCATTTCTACGCGGAAGTCCCCTCATACTGCCTGCCTCGAGGGGTGCTGGGCGAGGCCAGAAGCCGTACAGGCTCCTCTTGCTACACTAGCCCTGACCCCAGATTGCCACGGGCGCGTTCTTCACCCGCCCCCAGGAAAGGGGAGTTGAGGTGCGGAGATGGAGGGAGACAACCAAGTTGAAACGAATGAGGAAGTGGGCACGCGAGAGAGACCCACCAAGAGAGCTCTGCACACTGACTACTCCCGTTTCAGGCGAGGCACAGATACATGGAGCTTCTTGGAAAGACTTTGTGAGAAGGTCGCTTCCCCCAAGGGAAGTCACTTCAGCTTTCTCTCCCCTACCCGCCTAACCGCGCTGTCCCCAAAGATCCAGGGACCTCCTTTGTTTGTGTTTCCAAAACCTATAACTCCATTCCTTTCCCCTGGCGCGTTCTCGAAGACCCCCGAGTTCCCCTCCCTCCCAGCGCCAGGTGGAGAGTGAGCTTCGATTAACCGGAGCCAGCAGCCTCACCGGCCCAGCCTGGGCCGCGTGCTCTTCTCGTAATGACTTCTACTCACTGTCATTACTGAGGTTTCAAGTTGCATGGAAGACAGCAGGGGTCAGACTGCACCCGGACACAAAAGATGGATCGAGGACGGAAGCTCCCCCCAGGGGTCCCCGGGATGCTTCCGCTAAGCCAACAGCGGGGAAGCAAGAAGACAGTAGCCAGAACTACCTGCACGAGATAAACTCTTGACCCAACGCCGAAAGGCTACTACTAAAAGCAAAGTGTATTTGGCTGCTGGCGCCTCCCCACGCCCCTAGCCACCGCAGAATGGTATTTTACACCCTAGTCCTGCCGCTCCACTTGCGGCGGCTGATTCCAAACAGTTTTGCGAGCAGCAAAATAAAGCACTAGTCTGGGTCCCGGGGCTTTGGACTGGTATTACCTTCTGTCGGGTTTACAGCTATGGCTAATAAGACTGATTAAATGCACTTGGATCTGCAGCAAAAAACGGGATCAAGCGGTACATCTGTCTCCCTCCCACCGTGGGAAAAGTTGATGGAAAAATTGTTCTCGTTCTCTCTCTCTCTCTCTCTCTCTCTCTCTCTCTCTCTCTCTCTCTCTCTCTCTCTCTCTCTCTCTCTCTCTCTCTCTCTCTCTCTCTCTCTCTCTCTCTCTCTCTCTCTCTCCCCCTCCCCCCCGCTCCCTCCCTGCAGTCCGTAGTGTCCATTTCATGTATTATCTATGGGCCCAACTATCTGAGGTTCTTACATTGGAATAGGACTTTGAGGCTTTAATGATGTCAGGGACTTTCAAGCCATTCCTAGGTGCAAGACAAAAAACAAATCAAACAATCAGAGCACACACGCCCCACCCCCACCCCAACCCCGAACCTTTGAGTGGTATACTACACAGCCCTCTCTATATTTTCAGTTGATGTCCGTTTATTAAAAAAAAAAAATTGCTCTTCCCTTTTCGGAAAGCTCGACTTCGTCTTCGGAATTTTGTCTCCAATTACAATTAGTAAGTTTGCAAGGAATTGGACTCGCCTCAGAAAGCCGCAGAAAGAAGGGTGAGTGTCCACGACTAGCCTGACCCCGCAGCTGGTGAGACGAACCGGCTTCTCTGCCGGGCTGCGTCCGTGCACTCTGCCCGGGAGGCTCACTCGCTCCAGGGGCCTTGGAGGGGAAATGAGCTGGCCTAAGGAACAATCTGAACGGCCATACTCCTGGATTCAGCCCCTGGACGCTTTTAGCCCAGTTATAATTCCTTCCTCCCCTTCTTTCTGCCCGGTGAGTCCCTCCCGAAGGCACCGGCTGCTTCTCAAGTCCATGGTCTGAGAGTACCAAGGATGCGGAAAGTGATGTGAGGCTGGGGGGAACATTTCCTTAAAAAAAAAAACCGATTAGAATGCCACTCTACACTGGGGGGGAAAAGGACACTATTGAATGGTGTGGGGTTTGTTTTGATTTCTGGCCCATTAGTAGTTGGAAGGAAACAATTTCTACGATCACCACCACCACCACCTTCCGCATCTCTCCCCACCCCCATACTCCTTTCACCCCCGTTCGACTCTCTTCTTTCACTCCAGGAGAAAGTCCTTCTGGGGATCCTTTTCCGAACGTTGGCCTCTGGGTCTTTACTTTGAGCCCCTCGCCTCCCAGCACGCACATTCCACTCCGCTTTCTTTCAATTTCTGCCCTATCTTCCTGGCAAAAATGCTCCCAGAACCTTCCTTTTCAGACATCCCTGAGCCTCTCTTGTTTTTCAGGGTCGCGAGCAGAAGCCAGAGCCACAGCTGGCCCCTCTCCTGGCCCACAGGAGAGGTCAGGGTGAAGGCGGAGAGGACGGCAATAGGAGCCGGGGGTGGGCAAACTTCTTCAGGGATCTCCTGGAATTCACGTGCC